CTCTCAGTGCCTTTGCATCTAGATAATCTGAGACAAAGATTTAAAATTAACATTAATCTTAATTATAAATAGCATATTACATTGGCCTAGTGCATGGCAGTATGCAGATTGTTTTCACATTTTATAAACCATGGGGTGTTTCAGTCTATAAGATTATAAATTCTCTTTTCTCATAATTTATCTCTCGCTTCTATTTCAATACCTGTTGCATAATAGATGCTTAAAACTGCACAAATAGCCTCAAAATTAACTATTGGAGTAGATATTGAATTTGTAAGTATTATTATCTTTACACAAGAAGAAACTAAATTTCAAAGACATTTATGACTTACTTAAGGCCATACAACTGACAAGGGCAGAAATAAGACTGGTTACTTTTTTCATAAAATTGGAATAAGATAGAAAGGTAGGATTTTCCCTGAAAGTAGTATAGTTTGTGATAAGAAATTTAGATTTCTTTCCAAGTCATAGGACAGGATCTGGGAGACTATGGACTGTTGGAAAGATGGGCAGAGAAGGTGGAGGAAGCACCTCACTTTTCATACACGGAGGCTCCTGGGCTAAAAAAGTTCCAAACAGAGATCCCCAAAATACGGCAGCTTGGTCGTAGGGAATGTGCACTGGTGGAGGGATGGGTGTTTGATCATTGTGTGATTGTAACCCAAACATGAGAGCTTATAACTACTATCTCACGGTGATTCAATAAAACGAAAAAAAAAAAAGACCAGTGGCAGTTTTAATTCTCATAATTATCAAGACCAATGCTTATAAAAAAAAGTCATTGTCTTTGCGGGGGGCTCACAATTGGTTTTCAGTGGGCCAGGGCTTCTCCCAGAAATCCTCAGCCAATTTCATGACTGGACTGTTCGATGCTGGCCTGTGGCAGTAGATGTGGGTCAGGCCTAGTCATGCTGCTTGGTGTCAGGGTGCCTAGTTGGGGGTGGGGTGGGGGGTGGTAGAACATGCAATACCAAGGGTGGAACTGATGTCGGTGGGCCCCACAGGTGACATATATGAAGCGTGGAGGAGAAAGATGGTCACTTTCTCCCCTTCTGCCTCTGCCCCCCGGGATCCAGGGTTACTGGGTTCTTGTCTCGCCTCGCAGAAAGGAATTTCAGGAGTGGATAAGCAGCCTAGTAAATAGATTTTATTTGGAGGGTTTTTGAAGGTGTGGAGGGGGGGAGAGAGAGAGAGAGAGAGAGAGAGAGAGAGAGAGAGAGAGAGAGAGTAATGCTCTCAAGAGAGAACACAGGCTTCTCCAAGGGTGGAGAAAGAGCCCCTAGACACATCCCAGCATTGGACATGAAAGCATGAAAGTACACGTCTCAAGAGGGGAGATGCAGGCGACACATGTGCTCAGGTAGCATATGCGCACCCTTCCTTTGTTCAAGGTGACCTTTATAGGGTTTCTCCAACCTGCCCCCACATAGGCTTCTACCTGGGTAAAAGTTCATTGATAAGGAGGTTACCAGGCAGTTGGGAGTGGTCTTCTTTGAAATTTCTTTCCTGGCCTTTTGTTCCTGCATGAGCTTTGGGTCTATTGCTGTTGCCAGGTGAGGGTCTTATTAGGCCTTAGTTTCTGTTTTTTCTGTTTTCTGCAAGGTTGGTTTCTGCCATTGCCTTGGGAGGGGGCTTTCCCTTTCTACCTGCCTACATCAGAACTAGGATTTTGTGCAACTAAAACATGTTCCTAATTTATTCCTAATTTCTGAACTATTTTTTTAATGAAAAACCTATAACAAAATATTCTTTCTCTCCACAGTTCACAGGCAACACCTTAACCAGCATTGGTTAAGACTTTTAGTACATTAAAAATACATTGCAGTTGTATTCACAGTATCTTGCTATGCTCTTTGTAAAAAAATTCAAATCCCAGTGCACAGGACCAGCACTGGACTACAAATAAAAATATATGTGTTGAACAAGAGGTTCTTTCAACTCTGTTGCTGATGTGCAGCCTCACTTAGATGCAGTTTTTTTTTTCAGGTACAGACCATAACATCTTATTGACTGCTGTATAAGTGCTATTAACATATTTAAATCCTGGGAATTTCATATGTCTAAAGTGCCATTCTTTTTAATAAAGCACAGCGTAGTTAGCAGCTCTGAAGAACTTATATTAGTGATTTTCTGATTTAGTATCCTTGAAATTAAAAAAATGATTATTCTGAGCAGGTGATTAAGCAATTCTCATGAGAAAATGAGCTCATAAACCTTTGGAGAGCAGTTAATTTTTTCATTTTCCAATGGTGGGGAAATTCTCCTAAATCGGGGTTTCTCAAACTTGAGTAAGCATACAAATAACTATGGTATCTTCCTAAAATGCAGAATAGATTTAGTAGGTCTGGAGGGATGCCTGGGTCGGTGTTTCCAACAGGCTTCCTCCTTGGTGGTGCTGAGGCCTTGGTGCTATTGCTGGTCTGGGGTGATTCTTTGGGGACAGGAGACCAAACATCCACCAGGTGACCCATAGTCATGAGAGCTGGCTTCACTTGCTTGTGCAGAAATATTATTCCCATTTCAGCCCCGTGTTCTAGCCCCACATTGTCTCAACGGCACTTTCTTATTTCCAGCGCTATTGGCATTATGAGGAGACATAGGAGAGAGTATATTTTGGTTGCTGGGTTTATCATTAAATACCTAAAACCAAACACCAAACTCTGTTGTGTTTTAAGTACATCTTCAGGGCAAAATGTGGCAGTAGCTGCCACATACAATATAGATCTCTTCAATTCTATGTCATTACAAAGCATTGCTTTGACATATATGTCCCCCTCCCCCCGACACACACACTCCCACCTTCTGTTTTGTGGGTTGAATCTGAGCAGTCAGACATGGAAAGTTAGCGTTCTACTGTTGTATTTTGGGCCCAACACACTTATCCACTTCTCTAATTTGTCTCCTGTGGTCAGAAACCACCTTTATAAATCCTACTGTGGAGAGTTTGGCAGTCCAGTTTGAAAATTATGAAGTCACATGTTAGGTATGGTTGACTTGATTCTGCAACAGCAGTTATCTGTTAGACAAGTGAATGACATAGGACATCTGTTAAAGAAGCTCAGTCCGTTGATTTATTAGGGTTGTTGCATTTAGTTGTTATCAGATACAGTTTTTCATTTGAGTTGAAGATAATTATAGAAATTTAAAAACAGAAAATTATTTCAGAAAAATATTTAAGTTGGAGCGATAGCACAGCGGTAGGGCGTTTGCCTTGCACGCAGCCAACATGGCCGACCCGAGTTCGATTCCTCCGCCCCTCTTGGAGAGCCGGACAAGCTACCGAGAGTATCTCACCCGCACAGCAGAGCCTGGTAAGCTCCCCGTGATGTATTCGATATGCCAAACACAGTAACAATGAAGTCTCCAATGGAGACGTTACTGGGCCCGCTCGAGCAAATCGACGAACAACGGGAGGGCCTTTATCTTTACCTTTACCACATCAAAATATGTGCATATAAGCTCCAATGCTTTTCTCCATGTGGTACATTCCTGACCAGAAAGTGGCTTTTTCTGACAAGGTTGCAAATTGTTGTTAGTAGTTTCTTATGAAAAGATAATTATGTCACATAAACCAAACTGATTTTCCTAACTTATTTTTAGTGGATTGGAAGAATGGTTCACTTAATGCCTCTGATTTCTTCATTTATTTTTATATGTCATCTGCTTTCCATAAAATATTCCAATGACCTTTGATTGAAGCAGACATTTATCTAGTCAAATATTCTGATGAGGGGTTGGGAAGAACTTTGTTATTAGGAGGGCTTTGTTTGAATGGTATTTATCTTATTCATACTTGGCAGGTACAAATTATTAGAAGGAAAAGTCATCTTGAACAGGAATCATATAGTCTGACCAACTCCCTTTGCCAGTGTGGAAGGAGCTATGAAATTTGTCTCAGGTCACAGAGAGTGACATTGAGTCCCAGGGCTGACTCCCCTAGTTCCTGACAGTGTCTATGGAGTTGACCTAAGACTGTGATTAGAGACTGAGGAGCAGACGCCCCACTTTCCTGGTGGGAGCCAGAGTGTTCCCTCTGATATGGTTCATTGCATTCCTGTGCCCTTGTATTTGAGGAGAAGCAGAGTGAACTCTGGCATAGCAGGAATCCAGTTTCTGCAGCCAGACTGGGTCAGCTCTTACCTCACTCTACGTGTTACATACATGAAATTGGACAAGCTGCCATGCACCTGAAAATTCTCAGATGCAAAATGTGAAACTTTATTGTGGGATTGCTGTGAGGACTAAATGAGCAACTAATATGCAGACCAGTTACAAAAGATGGTAAGGTTTATTATATGTGTGATCTGTAAATTTGCAAAATTTGCATTTCTTGTCAGTACTGAATGGTAGAATCAGTTTCCTGAATCATGAGTAGCATAACAAAATGTCACTGTCACTGTTCTCCTGTTGTCCACAGATTTGCTTGAGTGGGTTCAGTAACATCTCCATTGTGAGATTTGTAATAACAAGCATGCTTGGCATATCGAATACGGCACGAGAAGTTTGCCATGCTTTGCCCTGCGGGCGAGATACTCTCAATAGCTTGCCGGGTTCTCTGAGAGGGGCAGAGGAATTGAACCTGGGTTGGCCAGGTTGGCCGCGTGCAAGGCAAATGCCCTACTGCTGTGCTATCGCTCCAGCCAATAACAAAATGAGTTAAAGGAAAATAAAAGAGAACATATTAGAGTGCATGGCATCTGTGCAAGATTTTGTGTGGGGTTATTTTTCTTTTTTAATATCCGTGTGTGTGTGTGAGAGAGAGAGAGAGGAAGAGAGAGAGAGAGAGAGGAAGAGAGAGAGAAAGAGAGAAAACGAGAGAGAGATGACTGCCATTGTAAAGTGCATTTCTTACTATGGATTGCAAAATAGGGAAAAAGTAAGAGTTTGGAAGCCTTTGATCTAGGGACTGAAATAAGTAAAATCATTTCTTTTATCACAAACTTCCTTGGATTTTTGGCAAGAATAGAAATGTTTGAACCTTGCACTGTGCTTTGTTGCAGAGGGAGACCAAAGGACAGTTTCTCATCGATCACATCTGCAACTACTACAGCTTGCTGGAGAAGGACTACTTTGGCATTCGCTATGTAGATCCAGAGAAGCAGCGGGTAAGAGAGAGCCTCTGTCCTGATCAGCCTGGGGACGTTGGGTGGGGTACTGGCTGGGAGGGTGCTGAAGTTCTTCTTTGAGACAACGCAGTGCACTCTTGTTCTTCTGGTTATTGGCTACAAGAAACGGATCCACTCAGTGTGTATTTGTGAGTGCCAAGACCTGGCTGTGTCCTCACTGTACTGAGTGGGGCAAAGGAAAGACCTTTCCTCAGGCTCTTCTAGAGAGATAGTACCACCAGGCTGAAGAGACAAGGGTCCTGTGTCTTCTGAACCCACATTTGTCAAAGCACCTCAGAGAGTGACTACATAAGAATCTTGTTATAGAAACCCCTTGTATCTCACTATATAGAAAAACCTACTGGTACAAAGAGGCTGAGGGGAGATAATGTTTGAGTGGGTGGGATCTCTTTTGAGGTGAGGGGTGTATTTGCAATTTGATATATGTGGCGGCTACACGGCTCTGTTGATGTACTCAGTGTCACTGACATGTACTCCTTACAAAATGGTGCACTTAAGTTAAGTGATTTTGGCTACTTAAGAAGAAAAGAAGTTTTTTGACAGATAAGATAGCAAAACATTGTGAATATTCCTTAGGCACCACTAAATTCGATACCCCGCTTCCCACTTTGATTCCTGACTTAGATCTTAATCGTTCCTGGGTTCAGTTCCTGGTGTGTGTAGAGTGAGCAGGGGAGCTCTTGCTCTGGAGTGAGTGAAGCAGCCCATCAGCCTGAGTGTGCTCAGCCATTGCATATGCCAATCCCTCAGGCAGGTGCAGTTCCCCAGCAATCCCCCAGCAAGTGCCTGTGCATTATCCCGGCTACTGTTCCCTGTGGCTCCCATTAGGGTCACCCAATTTATCAGAATAGAAATGAAAGCTCTATTCAAGCCAGTCTATAATGTTTTCTTATAAAAGTCCAAGATTTTATCTTCCATGGATATAATATATCATATATCATTACACTGAAATTTTGAGATATCTACTAGAACATACATGAAAACAGAAATGTCTGCTTCAAATTGCCATTTTCTCACTTAATATGTCTTCATTGTCCCAAGTAATAATGTAGACTTATACATTCTAGTCTTCTGCCCACTTTGACTTTAAAATTGTGTTTAAAGCAATTTATAATTTTTAAAAACCTACTGCTCAGTCCCTCTGATATTCTTTCCTCCTTCTAATGAATGCTTATTTCTCTAATGATCTTACTTAAACCTTATCTTTCTAATTCCTGTCCTCATCTGAACCAAGCCCAAGAGATTCCCACCACCAAGGAAGAGTTCAACTTTGGATAACCTCCTGTTCTTTTGTAACTAACACCAGGACAAAAAAAGCATATTCCCAGCCTCATTCATTCTTCAGACTGCCCTTTGGCATGAAGAAAACATTCATGTGATCGCTTCTTTCCTTACTGATTTTTTTAGGGTAACACCAGCGATGCACAGGGGCCACTCCTGACTCTGCTCTCAGGAATTACCCCTGGCGGTGCTTAAGGGACCATTTGGGATGCTGGGAATCAAACCCCGGTCAGCCGCGTGCAAGGCAAACGCCCTACCAGCTCCAGTTGCTCCTTACTAAATTTATGACATCCCAGTAGGCTAAGTAATTTCGAGATTCCAATCTGTCATTATCAGGTACCCTATCCCTTCCCAGGAGAGGATACCAGGTATAAAATGAGTCGATTGTGTGCATTTACTAAGTAGGTGTGCATGGGGGGTAGGAGTGGGAGTCCACACCCAGCAATGCACAGGGGCTATTTCTAGTTCTGTGCTCAGACTGAACTCTAGCGGTGCTTGAAAAACCATATGTGGTATGAGGGATTTGAACCACAGTCAGTGAAATATAAGGCAAGTATCCTAAGCCCCATATTATATCTCTGGCTCTAATCATGTGAATTTTACTTAAATACAGCTCTCTACTTTCTGGCAACAGACTAAGATAATTTATCCAAAGCTGTCAATGTCAGTGCAGATGCAACCTGAGCTCCACAGAGATGCTAACCTGATGACAATTTCAGGTACTCTGTTTTTTGGTTTTGTCTTGTTTTGTTTTGTACTAAAAACGCCCAGTGACCCCCCTCCCCCCACCTCCATATACTTCCAGAAGCGCAGGCAGCCACACCCACATCTCATTGCCAACACCATGCAGCTTATCTACTGGCCTTGTTCCAGAGTCTCATGAATCTCAAGAGAAACCAACTAGCTGCAAAAATTTCTCAGATACCCCGTCCTTGCTAATACCTCTGGGGTGATCTCAGAAGTGGGATGGGCCAAGTTCCTGCCCTACCAAAGTGCCAGCAGCCACTCAGACCCCAAGAGTTGCCGCCACGTCTCCGGTAGTAATGCCCAGTTAAATATTCTGGATTTTCTGGACATTTCCAAACTCTACAATACTAACATCCAATAGGAGCACACCAGATTAATCAGTAATGTAACGTAGAAACCAATTAATCTGGACTATCGAAAACATTGACACAAAAGGCTTAACTTGCAACAACTTCCTAATAAACCTTCAGACAAGGATTTAATGTCCACATGGTGAGAAACAACAATTTTCACAAATTTTCTTTACTGAAGTAATTTTTCATCATTCCATTAGTCACTTAGTGTTAACAAGCAATAAAAAATAAACTATTGGGGAGGCAGCTTGAGGAGTGATTTGGGAAATAGGGACAATGGTGAAGAAAAGGTGACAGTGATGGTGAGATTGGTGTTGGAATATTGAATGCCTGTAACAAATCATCACAAACAACTCTATAAGCCATGGTGTTTAAGAAAAGTGAGGAAAAAAAGCTGTTAATAACAGTATCTCAGACACATTAGAACCACTAGACAGAACAACTAGACAACAGACCCACTAGATATGTTCAGCTGTTATGACAGTGCTCTCTACCTAGTAACAAGTGTCCAAAATCCTTTCTACAAAATCAAGTCCTGTTCACACTTGCTCCCAAAGCAGATGATCTGTTTTGTTATTAAAACTTCCAAATATTTAAAGGGCAAACAAACTTATGACTAGTGACTTGAGGCAGTTACACAACCTTTCTTTCAACCTAGGGCAGCCCTAAATCCTAGGTTCAATCTCAATGCAAGTTAGAAGCATCTGTGAAGCAATTGTTCCCAGGAGCAGGAAGCATCTTTCAAAGGCAGGAGCAGCTGGTGGGACATTCTGCTCTCTGCTTCCTGGCACCATCCCCAGAGCTAACTTCAAATCACTGAGCCTGTTTTCATTCCATTCCAAGTTCTCTCCAGATATGTCTCTAGGAAAGCAAACTTGTCTTAACACAGACAAGGCCTTTTCCCATTGTCAAGAAGACTCTTTGTAAGGTCACTCATTTCTCTGGCCTCTGTGTATGAGAATCTTAGGCCTATAATTCTATTTGGATGGAGCGGGCATCTTCACAGATGTGTCTTTGACCACAGGATGTCCTAGTTCATCCCCCTATCTGAGCATATATAAATGTTCTGGCATCTCAGGGCCACATAACATATACTAAACGAAAAGATACTTAAGGAAATGCCTCAAAGATGTGGATTTCCAAAGTAAACTTGTGCTCTCTGGGTAAGACTGAGAATAGACCTTTGGTTGGAAGACAATGACTTTCAAGTCAATAAATAATAAATGCTCTAGAATTGGGAGGAAATTGCTATTGACAATGCTGGGTATAGCCCTGACCTACCATGTCCCAAATAATAGGGAGGTTCAGGGATGTGACTTAAGTGGTAGAGCTTAGCACATATAAGGCCCTGAGTTTGAGCCAAGGCACAGCCGGAATAACTTCTATTATCAAAAAATTTTAATTAAATTAAAATAATAATTTTAAAACTTTAAAACATATCCCTAAAACCCTGGAATTTTCTTTCAGGATTTGGGAATTCTAAGTTAGTACAGCCCAGGAATCTTAAGGGGTGTGTGTGTGGGGGAGGGTGGAAGGGGGAATAGAGTGGGTTAAAGTCTAAAGCACTAGGTCTATTCTCCTATTGTCCTATATAACCCCCATTCCACTCAGGTAATATTTACTTTCAGTTTTGAACACTGGGTGACGTCCTTGGCCAGGTATGAAAGGAGAAAATGGTGGGAAAATAACAAGGAAAATCAGGACAATATGCATCTCAAAGCCACAGGCAATGAAGCCAGAATTATGAAATTCACTAATTATATCAAAACAGAGAAATTACTCAAACACCTGAGCAGATGAGGTGGAGAGAATATGCTAAATTTAAGAAAAAATAATGGACAAACTAATATTTCTTCTAGAATTCTTTTTTTAAATGTTTCTTTCCAGGTCAGTCACATGCAAGCAAGCACCCAACTAAGTGTACTATCTCTCTGGCACCAATGAGAACATTTCTTCTAAGATTTCTGAGTTCATAGTTCCAATAGCTTTTCCCATCAGTAAAATGAGAAGACCAACACCCACCTTATCTTTAATGAGTTCTTCAGCTGATAAATGTGCTGGAAACTCCAGAGAATTTTTATTGACCAGTACTCAATCCGTCCATCTCTACATAAAAATTTAAACTAATGGAAATCCTGGGCCTTTGCCATTCAAACAGCAAAAGATAATCATCATTTACTGACTCAGTTCTCACCATTTTTGGAGCATACGGGGCATGAAACATCTTGTCAAACATATGGTGTTCCAAATGTAATCGTGCTAAATATTTAATATTCTACAATGGTTTCCCGTAAATCAAGTTGTAAAGAGTTGTAGGCAAACCACCAGCTCCCAATTCAGAGGTAAGTCACACTTTAGTTTTCCTAAATAACCTGATTTTTTTTGCTAGTTTCCTATCCAAATAATTAATTGATTTTATTTTCCACTGAGGAAAAGAATACATGAGTTAATTAAAAAAAACAAGAAAGGCTAGCAAACACAAACAATAATTAAACATAAAAATGTGCCCATCAAGGAGGCAAACCAGAAGGTGGGAGGGAACCTGGGGGCATTGGTGGACACTGATGGTGGGAGTGGTGTTTTAACACTGTTTGAAAC